CCCTACTTCCTCTCCCATTCCACTGCTTCCTCTCCTATTCCACTACATCCTCTCCCATTCCACTCCTTCCTCTCCTATTCCACTACTTCCTCTCCCATTCCACTGCTTCCTCTCCTATTCCACTACATCCTCTCCCATTCCACTCCTTACTCTCCTATTCCACTACTTCCTCTCCCATTCCACTGCTTCCTCTCCTATTCCACTACATCCTCTCCCATCCCACTCCTTCCTCTCCTATTCCACTACTTCCTCTCCCATTCCACTCCTTCCTCTCCTATTCCACTACTTCCTCTCCCATTCCACTGCTTCCTCTCCTATTCCACTACTTCCTCTCCCATTCCACTGCTTCCTCTCCTATTCCACTACATCCTCTCCCATCCCACTGCTTCCTCTCCTATTCCCCTACTCCCTCTCCCATTCCACTCCTTCCTCTCCTATTCCACTACATCCTCTCCCATTCCACTGCTTCCTCTCCTATTCCCCTACTCCCTCTCCCATTCCACTGCTTCCTCTCCTATTCCACTACATCCTCTCCCATTCCACTCCTTACTCTCCTATTCCACTACATCCTCTCCCATTCCACTGCTTCCTCTCCTATTCCACTACTTCCTCTCCCATTCCCCTGCTTCATCTCCCATTTCCACTTCTTCCTCTCACATTCCACTACTTCCTCTCCCATTTCCACTTCTTCCTCTCACATTCCACTACTTCCTCTCCCATTTCCACTTCTTCCTCTCACATTCCACTACTTCCTCTCCCATTCCACTACTTCCTCTCCCATTTCCACTTCTTCCTCTCCCATTTCCACTACTTCCTCTCCCATTCCACTACTTCCTGACGAGCATTGAAATAGCTACTGAATATTTTGTGATATCATCACATGATCAAATACAAACTTGACGTGACATATTATCAATCATCACTGCAAATCTGTATATGAGAAAATTATCAACTACATTGAGATATTATTCATTAAATTGGAGTTGCGTTTAATAGAGTGCAAGAACAGCTCTGCCAGCTGCAACTTGTTCTAAATGCTGATAAAACAAAACTTATGTTTTTCACAAATTCAAAATCAGCAAGGTCAAATCGCTCTGTCATTTTCACCAGTAATGGTCAACAAATTGAACTTGTATCTACTTTTAAACATCTGGGGTTCTTGATTGATGACCACTTGTCTTTTAAGGCACATATTCTGTATACTGCTAAGAAGCTGAAGCTTTTACTTGGATTTTATTTCCGAAATAAGTCTTGCTTTTCTTTTGGGGTAAAACTGAAACTGGTGGAGTCGACCTTTCTTCCGATTATTGATTATGGTGATGTGTAATATATGAATGCCTCTGCTCACTGCCTCCACATGCTGGATAGTGTGTATCATGGCGCTCTGAGGTTTATCACAAACCGTGGTGCTCTAACACATCATTGTGTCTTATACACTAAAGTAAATTGGCCATCTTTATATGTGCGCCGGCTCGGCCATTGGTATGTCTTGATTTACAAGGCCATTCTTGAGATGATTCCATCTTATTTATCATCTCTTTTAATCCTGAATAATAGAGCCCACAGTCTCCGTTCTCAGGACTTTTTACATTTTACTGTTCCTAAGGTCAGAACAGAATTGGGGAAGAAGGCTTTTAGGTTTTCTGCTCCAACTTCATGGAACAATCTGCAGTCAGAGCTCAAACTCCAAAGCCTGGTATCTCTGGATGTATTTAAGTCCATGATAAATCCCATTGTATCAAGGCTTTATGAGTGTAAATGTTTTATTTGATCTCGACCTGATTGTGTAAATTCAATTGTTTGTTATTTGTATCTCTTGTGTCTATGTTTAATGTGACAATGTGTTGAAACTATATGTGCTGCCATTCTTGGCCAAGTCTCTCTTGTAAAAGAGATCTTTGATCTCAGTGGGACCAACCTGGTTAAATAAAGGCTAAATAAATTAATAAATAAATAAAAATTATTTTTTTAACAACTTTATGTAAAATGAACGTAATTTTGTTATAATTTTGCTACTGACTGTTTTACAAATAGAAAAAAAGAAACAGAGATGGGTTTGCCTTCTCGAGGGCAGAAAGCAGAGGACAACATTTGTATTTTGATGTGTGTTCTTCTTTGAACGCAGGCAGAGGCAAGTTGAATCAGTCGCAAGGACCAGTTCTCTGCTCTAGAGAGCGGGCCCTCCAACCACTCTGTCCCCACCACATGGGCCCCAGTGTAACCACACTGTCGAATCCTTTTAGTCACTTGGACACAAAATCATCAGCAAACAGGGTCCACGCTGAAAAATACCAGAGTTACTCCCTAACCTGCTGATTATTTTCTCCGTTGACCAAATGACTGTTTGGTTTGTGACAGTGAAAATACAAAGTAATTGAGTAATCAATATACTTTATAAATACTGACGTTCTGCCCACACCTCAGATGCAACGTGGATGACGAACCGAGCACTCCGTCTTCACTGCCGCTGCATTTTATCTGAATTTTACAGATTTGTACTTTGGTACCATGTTCTGGGACCCGTAACACTTCAAAATGTGCGTTCTGTCCAGCCAACAGTCCAAACCTCAACATTACTACTAATACACTGCAATTATTAACATTATTAAAAGGAAAAGCAGCAAAACTTCACATTTGTGAAACTGGAACCATGAAATGTTTGACATGAAGAAGACTCAGCCATCAAAACAGTTTCACATTCACTTTCTGTCGATCAACTGATAAATGATGAATGTACTGATTGTTTCAGCTGGACATAAATAAACTGCTGGGGAATTTCATTTATAATTTAATATCATATTTCATAAACTAGTGTAGTGAAAAGTACAGTATTTCCCTCTGAGATGGAGAACACATATATGGAGGAGACTAAATTAGGCCTACAGTGAGTCTCTTTCTCTGCAACAAAACTAATGCTGATAGTTCCCACAGCTTTCCAAACTAATCCTCTTCCCCTCTTCTTTCTCACAGACCTGGACACTGGCAGTGCTGTCACATGCTACCAAAGCCCAGTCACATGCTGTGCACCCCTATCCTCCTTCACAGCATCTGCTCCAAGTCCTCCCGTGTTGCATTCACGTCCTCCTCGTAAAATACGGCCATCAAGCCATCAGCGGTATTCTGCAAATGTTATCTGCCTCTGTGATGGTCTTAATGCTGTTTCAAAGCCTTCTTCACAACACAAGGAACTTCATTATGGTCGAAATCCATTTAATTCAATTTATTTTTTAAGTCTCTAGTAGTCAAATCTAGCAATACTGACTCTACAAATATATATTAAAAAAACACATGAAAGCGCCCTCACACATAACAGACTGTCATGTTACACTGCAAATCAGGCACGACTACGATCATCAGACTCGGGACTATTTACACACTTTTGAGCTGCATTCCATGTATAACAGGAGTTATAAATAATTATCATAAAGTATTATTATTATATTATTATGTAAATATTTTTATACATGAATCCATGCCATATGAAAAGTACCTTAGAGAATATAAAAACATCGTTTGGCTTCCTTCTACCTCCAGTAGTGGTATCCACTTAGCAACATTATTTTTCTCAGCTCTTAACATTGCTTTTGATTATTGTAACTGTATTTTCTTTATTGTTTTATATCCAGGAACTTTGTGGAGGACGTTGTAACATTATTCAGATAAGTACTACACAAATAAGGGATGCACGATAATATCGGTACGTCATCGATGTTGACCGATATCGGCTTTCAAATGAACTATTACAATAGTCCAACATGCTTTATCTTAACAATGCACAATGAACTAATTTTACATACACTGAAAAGCATTCATGTTTCCATCTGCTGGTGTAAGCATCTGAGGAAGCGCCGTTTGGCTCGAAGCATCATGCCGTAGTAAAAACTCACTCTATTGGAGCTTTCTGGTGTGCGGACATTGTTTCTTGCTCTACATGTGGCCTTGTTTGTCCAGCACCCATCCCTAATATGGGTATGAGGATGTGCGTGTCGTTTTCACCTTTGTTTTCCATCTGCTGGTGGGCCGTCAGCAGTATGCATGCATATTATGATGATGATTCCACTACAGAAGAGACTTGATGATCATCAAAATTAGGTGGGAAAAAAAAGTGGATATCGGTATCAGTATCAGTTATCGGCCAAATGAGTAGTTAAATATCGGCATATCACGCATCACCATTATTAATCATCTCTTGATGTCTCTTAATGTTTTGTGTTTTCAATCACATTTTTGTATACTATTTTATCATATATATTGGCCATGACATTTATCTCTTGTGATTTCTTTGTTTCAAATACCACATGGGATATTTCTTATTCCTTAGTTAACAGTTTTTACTTGTAAGCACCTTCTACAAAAATAAAAAAGTCTGTATTTGCATTGGCATCTGTATCTTCCTTAGCAGAGTATTCATCACTCCTGCACTGCTACACTTAAATTTAATAACCTTACATTGCAATACCTGCACTGTCAACCACCTTAATTTGCACCACCATCAGAAGCATATCTACAGCTCTCTGTAGGAGTCCTGGGACGAGACTATCATTTCACTCCTGTGTTTTTTATTTGTTTTACACTTATATTCTCTGTCCCTGTAAGTTCCTGTGTTTCTGTATGCGCTGTGTAATAAGCTACTAAGAACACAACGTGGTGAGCTGACTTCTCCTTGAAAATTCTGGCTCTGTATTTCCCTCCCTCCACTCTCTGGTTTGTCACTCAGATTTCCGGCAGCCCCTGAAGGAGGCACAGACAGCATCCATTCGTGCTCATTTACCGGACCGGAGAGGACCGAGCTGTACCGGGACGCGTCCACACATCAAGCGGAGAGGACAAAGCACTGCACTAACGTTCACTACACACCGTGAGTTATTTCCACACATTTAAAGGCTTGTTTTGGTCTCACTGTGAGGCCGTGTGGAGGTGAAGCACGTCCGCTCCGCACGGCGGCGGCAGCGGCAGCGGCAGGCTTCAGTTTCCGGGTTTGCCGTCTTTGTGCACACGGCACCGGGCTGGTGCAGAGCGCATAAACCCAACGTGTTACTGTTTACCTCCAGTGTGTGTGAGAGAGTGTGTCAAACACAGACACGCGTAGTTGGCTGTGAGAAGGATTTTATATTTTTATGGCTCGATGTTATTTTTAAAGTAAAGCGGAAGCTCGCAGCAGCACGAGGCCCGAGCCTGGGCCGCATCCCCCTGGCAGATGCCATCTATCAGCGTCCTCCGAGAAATTTAACGAAATAACTGCTGCTAGCAGGGTGGCTAACCAGGCTAATTACTAACAGAAGAGGTGAGGAAGCTTCCAGTGTCATTATCTTCATCATTATTCCTGAATATTAAACACGATACACTCGCATTCATTTCTATTAATAACGATGAGCTGTTTGTTTTATTAAGATGGCATCGGACGCTCTGAGAATGCCACCCGGAAACCTGGTTTCATTCGGATGAACCTCATTCAGAAATCCTACAAGTTAAATATCTCTGACCATCAGAGGACGAGTCACTTCTCAACATGGCTGTCTCTGTGTAAACCAATCATTTAGAGGATGCTCTTTAATTCGGCTCAACATTAAACACACTACACGACATAGTTTTCTCATCCAGCCAACTCTTTATCTGGTCACCACTGTGGGCTGTGACTTAAATTAGGTGAGGGGCGGTGTGATGGCCAGTGTGGGATCCACGGGGATTTCTGTGAATAAGCGGGGTTTCCCAGTAATCTTTATCCGGAATTAACCATTGTCTTCCCTCATTTGGCCCAACTGACACATGTGCTGTAATCATGTTTCCTATTGTAATTAACCAGAATGCACTGGAGCCAGTTCTGCACGCTTTGTGTACTGTTTCCTGTACTTTACAATAGTCAAGTAAAAGTAGAAATATCACAGTGTAGAAATACTTACATTACATTTGAATAAATATAATGTAGATACACTGTAAGAAAAATTACTGACAGGTGGTTTTGCCAGCATATTTTCCTTTTATACCAGAGATAATATTGACATGTCATCGACTTTAAAATGAATTATATCAGAATCGGCCAACATGCTCTTTCTTGTTTTGCACAATGAATGAATATTACATACTTTGAAAATCATGCTTTTTCATGTGTCCATCTGCTGGTGGGCCGTCAGGATGAAAGTGTGCATCCATACTATGATAATTTCACTGCAGAAGAGTTTTGATCACTAAAATAAGGAGGGAAAAAGTGGATATATCTATCAGTATTGGTTATCGGCTAAATAAGTTGTTATATATCAGCAAAACAATCATGAATTCAAAAGTAAATTGCACATGCCAGACTTTCAGTCTTTAAAGAGAATTTTTATTCTGTAGTAATTTAAACTTTTCCATTTAAACTTAAACATGGAGAACTAAAGTAGGGCCAGTGTGTTCCAGTTATACCGAGGAGGTAATGTTCGAGTGTTATACGATCGTGTGCCTTTGTGTTGTAAATATAAATTCTATGTTACGTATGATTTATTTTTAGGGACAAAGGCCTGTGGAGGATAAAACAATATTCCCTCTGACATTAGTTAAGTGTCAGTTTCACTTCCCTCCTCCTCCAGAGAAAAACAGCGTCTCCATCCATGCGCAGCATTTTCTATTTAAACTGGAGCTGAAATGATGAGTTGTTTAATCTCTTATTCCATCGACAGAAAACATTACCTCCTTCTGGCTTCTTACATTTGAGGATTTGTTGCTTATATTCTCTGGACTTTGGAAACAAACACTGTGGTGACCTCTTTATGGCTTTGGGAAACTTTTTAGCATTACTCACATTAAGTATGACAGGTACATGATTCATTAACATATCCTGTGGTTTATTTTGTTGGTCGGCAGCTTTTCATAGTGTTATTTTAAATTTCCACTGCTTTTTCTCTGAACAAGCTTTATTGGGATCAGAAATTGATCCGGTCAGAAGGCGGCCACAAACACTACAGACGAATGTTCTAATTTTAGTGAGTTATAGTTATGTGTAGTGACCGTCACTTCTGTAATCTCTTTGATTTATTGTTTTGTGGCTGCCATATTCTGTCAGTTCATGATTTAAATTATCCAGAAACTCTGCTTTGTGTCCTTCACATCCTTCAGAGGGCTGTAGTTAATGTCGCACTGTCGCCACAGCTTCCGCTTTCTTGTTTTGTCTGAGCAACAGTTCAAACCCCAAAGTTATTCAGTTCATTAAGATGTGAAACAGAGTTTGGTATTTTTACTTAAAATAAAAAAAAAATACTGAAAATTCTGCTTATTAAGAAGTAAATGAGAACAGTTTCACTTATTTTTAAAATAATCTGTCATTGGGTTTCAAATATAGTTTAACAGATGCTCTAACTTCTTTTCCTTGGCAGAGATGATGTTGACGTTGATGTTGATATTTCTCCTCGCCGAGAGTTTGTCCAGCGGGGATGGGTCGACCGGTTTAGACTGCAGCCCGTCCACCACAGAGACCAACAGATTACTGTCGGCTGTGGTCGACTCGCAGAGAGCTGAGCAGAGCCAGAGGCAACACCTGGAGGCTCTGTTCAACAGGTGAGCCTGTCTGCTACCTCGACAACACTGAACTGAGTTTTTGTCTGTTTTCCAGACCTGGAAGTGGTTTGGATTAACAGAAATGTATGGAAAAAGTTTTGATTGTAATTTGTTTTGGCTGGGGAACATGACCGTAATCAACCTTAATTTATTAGGTCACAGAACAATTAGCAGGCGTGTCTATAAAATTAATGTTTGTTTTAAGCAGCTGTGCGGAACTTTACGTTTTTGCTGATTATAGTGCCCCCTTTGGTCGAAGCGGTATGACACCCACAGCCTGGTGTCGTAAAATCTAGACTGCAACCGTCAATTACCGCATGCATTTGTTTTGGAGAGCGAGAGCAAAATCATAAATGTTCTGGTGTAGCTCTGAATTTCTTATAAACTGAGGACAACTGCCTGCTGTATATTTGTGTTCATGGTCACAGTTACAGATAATCTTGTGGCGTTTGTTGTAACGTTACCAGACAAAAACGGTTCACATCAGCTAACGTTACATTTAGCTTGCTTATAACTTCCATGTCGTCATATATTGAAGTGAAACAACGTCTAACAAGTTGCGGTATATTCTCTAAATAAAAACAAAAATTACATACCTGTCGATTAGGAAAAGGACCAACTCGGGATCAGTTTTAAAACCTTTCAAATCTCGCAGCTCTCTCCACTTGGTGAATGTCTGACCGAGGTTTACACACGTTTGGGCTCGAGCCCTATCACTGTCCCGTTTAGCCTTCTTCTGTTCTTCTGTTCTGTTTTCTTTTAGATGGTGCTCCTTCTTTATCCGCCATGACATCAAAAGTACAACCAAGTCCTTATAGATACATCTGGTAAAACTGTTATGTGTTCAGCAATGCCCATTGTGTACCGCTCACTCGAAGAACACACTCTGTAAACACGGCTCCTTCTTCTTCTGTGGTTTATAGGGATAGACCGATATGGATTTTTTAGGGCTGATGCCGATTTTTTTCCATCACCCTTAGCCGATGACCTATTATGGACTGCCGATTTTCTTGAGCCGATATCTGGGGCCAATACTGCTTTTGCTCCCTCAATTTACATCAAAAAAATGACACAATGATAACAAATATTACAGGTCTCAAGTTTACAATAAGAAACATTTATTGAACAGTAAAAAATACTAAAAAAAGATGGAAAGTTGAGGTAGAACAGGTAGAATATTATTATTACACATTCAAATAAAAAAAGAGTTCAGTGCTCTTAAATCTTCCAGTAATGTCTTTATAAAATAAACAAATATTTAAGCTGAAGCATAAATAAAACAACAACTACTGTACACAGTAGGATTCAACAGCTTTGTTCAACTTAACCACATACCTTCAAATGAAAAAAAGTGCCAGGGAAAAATAAATCCGCGAACCCACGCACGTATCGGCCGATGCCGATACAAGTAAAAAACTCAAATATCGGCCTGATATATCGGCCGGCCGATGTATCGGTCTATCCTTAGTGGTTTAATGGCTGCGGGCCGCTGCGGGCGTGCAGACTTACTTCCGCCTCCGGGTGCCGTATTCTGGTTTGCTGACTTCCGCTGTGTCCAACCTGACCGAGGCTACGCTAAATAGCCATATAGAGAAAGACTTTTTTGTCGCTGTTGGGTTCAAATAAATATGCAGATCTTCAAGGGGGGGTGATACGAACTGGGGACAGTTTTATAAATGCTAAAAAGTTCCGCACAGCTGCTTAAACAACAAATAGATGCCTACAAATTAGTGTATGCAGCAAGTCGGCTGCAGGAATGTATGACAAGCAAGTAAAGCAGCAGCAGTTTGCTTATCGAAAATTGTCTGGGAAGTAGGTGTGTAATAATGTACTGCTTTATAGGCCTACCCGTTTTAAACTCAAGTCATGGAAATTGGGTAAAAATATTGAGAATATTGCGAGCGAACCCTGTGAGTTGCTGGGTCACTGTTTTGTTTTTTTAAAGTAACATTTCCCTGTTGCAGCTCAACAAAGATTTGCCTTTAGTATGACTTAGAGCTTTACTAACTTGTGGTAGGTTTTTCCCATTTCTGACAATTTAAGAGTTCACTGGAAAAAAAAGAATGAAAACAACTGTGAGTTGTTGCTTTATATCCAAAAACGTTACTCAATATTGTTGAATTCTGCAGATACGATTAAAAGAAAGTTTTTTTTCTTTCCCTACTTTATGTCACTAATTTGCACAGAATAAAAACAGAAAAATTGTTAGAACTAGTTGGTTTTAGTTTTCACACCTGACATAAAACAACTTCCTTCAAGATCATTTTTTAGCATTAAAGTCTTCTTTAAAGGTCCAGTGTGTCACATTTAGGGGGATTTAGTGGCATCTAGTGGTGAGGATTACAGAGTGCAGCCAGCTAAAACTTCTCCTGGTCTGAATTCCTTCAGTGTTAAGTCTTAAGGAGATTTTTGCCGGGTGCTGAATTATCCGCAGAGGTCTCTTCCTCTCCAAAACAAACAGATCAGGTGATTTTAAACTGGAAAAAAATCTGAATAAAGCAGTTTGACTGGCTGCTAACTACAGTGGCCGAAGCAAAAACGCAAATGTCCCCCTCTAGAGCCAGTGTTTGGTTTGTCCATTCTGGGCTACTGTAGAAACATGGCGGTGCATGATGGCGAGCTCCATGGATGAGGACCTGCTCCCTGTGTAGATTTAAGTCTCATTATAAGGGAACGAAAACACAACGATTCTTATCTTCAGGTGATTATACACCAAAGAAAACACTTACTATATGACATTCCATTTCTGCAGATAGATCCCCCTAAATCCTGCACACTGGACCTTTAAAAGATGGTGTAGTGCATGTGCACTTCATGTCATGAATAAGTAAACATGTTTGTTGTTCAGTAGTTAAAAATTAAACAACTGTACCCAGTGAAATATTAATAATTTGTACATAAATAGCAGTGAACTCTCCTCTGGACTGTTAGCTGCTGGTTGCTGGCAGATCATAAATATTGAAGGAGAGCTTGGTGTGAAAATAGCAGTTGTTCTGTCAGCAGTTATTTTGTTCTGTCAGCAGTTATTTTGTACAAAGACTGATGAGTGGTTATTTTCTAATTGATGTTTTATAAAATTTATAGATATGGAGAAAACGGCACCATCTCTCTGGCCGGTTTAAAGCGTCTGTTACAGAGCGTGGGGCTGGATCGCATCAGGACTGTTATGGTGCAACATCATGAGCAACCAGGCCACCACAATCACCACCACCATCATCATCACCACCACCGCCACCACGAGGGCCACCAGCACCATCACCACCATCTCCATGATGACAACAACTCGCATTTTCAGAAACGCTCTGAAACCTCACAGCCCAGAAAGTTACCAAAGACCCCTGAAGTCTCCAAAGATCAGGACAGCCACCACAACCTGCTCGACAAGAAGACAACGGTGGCAGCGGCAGTGGCGGCGGCTCAGGAGGTCGGCACCACGGCGGTGTACAGTGCCCAGGTGGTGGTGAAACCAGATGATGCTCATAAGAGAGAAGACAGCAGCCCGGAGCAACCCAGTCCTGCCGGGGAGGAAACCACCAGAGCGTCTATTGCTAGACTGGTCACTGAAAGCCAGACTCAGGCAGCTGCAGTCAGCCGTGGGGATCACGACCATGTCCATGACCATGACCATGACCACGTTCACGACCACGACCATGACCACGATCACATAAACCAGGATCTTCCCCACAACCGAAGCATAGATAATGTTGAGGTAAGACATTAGCCTCTCATTTACAACTGGGCAGTGTTTAACTGTTGGCTATCTGAGCCAAAGCAGTACCTGAGTTTTGGAGCCAAATGTACAAAAAACACAAAACCTTATTTTGTGGAATATAATCATCTTTTAACCTTTTCTTTATTCATTTAACAAAGTATGCCAAACTGTTTAGTTCATCTGTGTTTAAAAGAAGAATTTTGCCTCAGTGAAATAGTGTAAAATTAGAAACATTTGCAGAATGAGACAATAAGTAATTAAGCCTGAAGAATCTGACCTAATGGGTCAGTACCAACTTTTAGTACTTGACACTTGTTCATCTTTCAGCGTAGGTAGGTATCTTTATATAATGACAAAAACTCTGTGTGTGTGTCTGTTCCATGTTTTTCTCCTCACTGACTTGGTCAATCCATGTGAAATTTGGCACAGTGGTAGAGGGTCATGGGAGGATGCCAATGAAGCAATATTACATCAATTGGCCAAAGGGGGGCGCTATAGCAACCCATTGAAATGTCAAACTTTGAATGGGCATATCTCATGCCCCGTATGTCTTAGAGACATGAAACTTTGCACAGAGATGCCTCTCCTCATGAGGAACACATTTGCCTCAAGAACCCATAACTTTCGCTTATATAGATTTTCCTCCATTTTGAATTTTTTGAAAAACACTTCAAATGGATCTCTTCCTAGGAAGTTTGAGCGATCTGCATGAAACTGGGTGAACATAATCTAGGGACCAATATCTAAAGTTCCCTCTTGGCAAAAGTTGGAAAACTTACTAAAACTGAGCTTCTATAAGGCAATGAATATTGTGGAGGGCGTGGCTCATCACATAAAGGTGTATAACATCTCAAGGGTTTCACCCATCACCACACAACTTTGTAGGCATATGACCACACATAATCTGAGGGGACCCCTCCATTATTGACCCCATCAAACAAAATGGGGGCGCTAGAGAGCTCATTTCTTATCTAGGCCTAACCGCCATATGGATTTTTACTAAACTTGGTAGATATGTAGAACAGGACGCCTCAAGGTGACTGGAGAAATTTAACTCTAATTGGCAACTGGGTGGCGCTATAACAACAGAAAAATGCTTCAAAATGGCTAAAATGCGACCGATCGCTGTGGCTCCCCCTGTGGACCAATGTTGGTGTTTTCTAATGTTTGGTATGACTAAGTTATGGTATGGTATGCTGTACATAATCACGGAAACTGTCAGTGTGTCATTTTGTCAGTCAGTCATTCTGTCTGTCCCATGTTTTTCTACTCACTGACGTGGTCAATCTATGTGAAACTGCACATAGGCATTGAGGACTGGCATAGGTAGAAGATGACAAAGCCACCAATGGGTATGGACTAGTCTAAAGTAACAAAGGAAATAAAACAAACGTTTGTTATGTGATTCATTTTTTAAGGGGTCAGAACTCCAGCAGCACTTGTAGCGTATGAAAGAACCTTATAAGACCAGTCATCAGCTTTGATGAGTCCAGAGTTTTGTCCTCTTTAGACTTCTCTAAAGAGTGAGTGAAGTTGTGCCACCCCCACTCTGCTCCTTGGGATTTATTTTTTAACATGTTACATAACTACTACTAACTACAAAATATGATTCAGCATTTACATTTGGTTCATTTGAGGTGTCCCAACTGCTTCATTAAGTGTCACGTTAACCAGTTACTTTTGGTTTGTTGTGGTTACTGGTTAATAACTGTAGGGCGAGTTACTTCTCGGATGGTTTGGTGCCAAGATTGTTTTTAAAGATTATTTTTCTGGCTTTCTTAAATAGGACAGTCTAAGCATGAAAGTGGAAGAGAGAAAGGACTGCAGGCTGGAATCGAACCTGCGACCACTGCGGCAAGGTCGTTGCCTTTGTATATGGGTGTCAGTGACCAGGGTGCCAGGATCTTATTATGTATCTGTGCCGGCGATAGCTGTGGATTGACGCTTTGTTTTTAAGTTGCCTGTTCATCCGTCTGTCCCATTCTCATAAACGTATTAGACATTCTAATACCTTAAGGACGCTTTGAGAGAAATTAAAATTTGGCACGCTTGGTCGTTAAGGATGAACTGATGACCTTGCATCTGTGTCCGTCTCCTGCATGCGATATCTCAAGAACACCCTGAGTTGGTTTCTAAAAATTTTGCACAAACGTCCACTTACACTCAACATTGAACTGATTAGATTTTGGTGGTCAAAGGTTAAAGTGACCTGAACAAACATGTTTTTGGTCATAACTCAAGAATTCTCAGACTAAGAATGAGTCTGGACGAACTTGGATGTAAACTGTACCTGCAGCTTGACTGGTTTGCTGAGGCATACAACCGTGTGGCGGTAACTCTTGTTTTCAACACGACGCATTAGGTTCCACCTAATGTGTGACGATAATAGTAGTCTAGTTTTCTGTACGATGGTGTTGCAAATGAGAGGACAGTGAACACAAAGTCCAAATAAGTTTAAAAAAAATAAGTCTCTTCAGGTTTGCTGAGTCACCCTGTGTAAAACCTATCATGACTTTTCATGTCTGTGTTACTGTCTTCATGTTTCCTAAATGTGAGTGCAGTTAGTGAGTTGTTGTGTTTTACCTCCAGTGTCTGAACGCCTCCACCATCCTCTCCTCACACGGGATGTCTCAGGAGGTGGGTGTGACTCTCACTGACTTCAGCTTCCTTTGCCCCGCCCTCCTCAACCAGATTGATGGCGGAGCGTGTATTCTGCACGGCGGCGCTGCAACACACGGGGAGAGAGGTGGGACCCATTAATGGGGCAAATCTTTATTCAGTTTTTAAAATTAAAATATATGTTGCTGTGTCAGTAAAGTAGGAGAATGTCAGAGAAGTGTTCAGACAGACCGTAGCAACATCTGTGTGGAGCTGTCATTGATCTGTTACTCAAACTGGACTTCCTGGTTTCACCTTCACCTGCATCATCCAACCAGATAATGAAGTTATTCTTATCATCCCAAATATTACATATCTGTCTGCTGACTCACTGACTGACACACCTGTTGTGTTTCGGTGCTCTTTGACGATCCAGATTTACCTGTTTACACCTGAAACGCCCTCATAGAAGTTCTAAGATGGGTGTGACTGATGTTTTTATTGTATCTAATGCTGATTCATTTTTATAGCAGCTCTGGAATTCGATGTGATGATAATGGATTTATTTAATATCTCCCCCTCTTTTTTTACCAGACCATAAACATGGTCATGGTCACCATGGTGACCACAACAACTCAGACAGCAGGGAGCACTCTGGAGGTGAAAGTGGCAAAAACATCACAATAGGTAAGATCATGAATGAATAAATCTGTGATTAGACTTCTGTTAACCGTGATCGTTGGTTAACCGATAGCTTTAAAAATGTGCCTGTTTGATTCGTGTGCTGCAGCGTGGGTCGGAGGGTTCGTCTCCATCACCATCATCAGCCTGCTCTCCCTGCTCGGCGTCGTCCTCATCCCGCTCATGAACAGAGTTTTCTTCAAGTTCCTCCTCAGCTTTCTGGTGGCGCTGGCTGTCGGCACGCTGAGCGGTGACGCCTTTCTTCATCTCATCCCCCACGTGAGTCAGCGATATTGCCGGGCATCAATATCTTTTACACCACAGGACTTTTGACGTCTTGCAAGCATGTAGTCCTCACGTTATCAGTCCTGTAGGGTCAAATTTAAATTTTGTCCTGACCTGAGACACAAAGCATTTTAGGGCCATTTTCACACTGGTTCAAAGGCTGCAACAAAGATGGGGGATCAGTTGAGTGTACAAAATAGCAAAAGCTTTTGTATTTACAAAAAGTGACAATAAATAACAGAATGAACATCAAAGTCAGTTACCAGTCATGTAGGCATGTTGGGGTTTGTGGAAATCGTAGCAGCTGTACCCGTCAGGGAAGAAAAGGATTGACTCCAGAAGGAAGGAGGCGTTTATGAGCAGAGCACACCGGGCCCAGGTGTAGCTCATCCAGCTGATGACCCTCCATTCAGCACCTGCAACACACAAATAGAAACAGCAGTACAAGGACGCAGGGACCCCTAGAGGAAAGGAGGGATCATCACAACGCTTTAACATTTGTTTGAGTCCAAACCAGAGTTCTCTTCCATCAAAGGAACTTAATTTTAATTCTAATTAATTCTAGTGTGACATATAATGTATACGTCTGCAGCGCTTTCTAAACTGCAACAATGACATAACATTGCAATAACAATCATCAGAGGCTAAGGAGCTCATGGACCTAAGTGTTTTCCCAGTTTGCTGACATTTTCTCCTGGTGTTCTTCTTTAAGTTAGTTGCTAACTGCTACCAGCTACTTTCCTGCGGTGAGTTCGCACACATAACACACCGTCAAAATGTTATACCCGTCCTGCTCATGGTCCTGTCCTACTGGCCGTCCTGTTCATACAGACACTGTTTTGGGGCTGTTACTACCGCCGATGCTGCCGTAAAGGCGAGACAACTCTCTATAGTGATGAAACTGGCGTTCCCCCACCCTATCAAGTAACTGGTTTAGACTCAGGTTAAACTTGAGAGGCCGTGGTGATGCTTTCAGTGTTGGTCGCAGTTTGTGTTTTCACTGATTTTAAGTTTTTGTCTCATCAGTCTCTTTGTGTTCATATCTGTGGATGCTTCAGTCTCAGGGAGGCCACCATCACCACCACGAGGATTCTGGGATGGGTATGGAACATCACGTCCATGGTGAGCCGGAGGAAAACCTGGACGCAGTGTGGAAGGGTCTGACGGCTTTGAGTGGAGTCTACCTAATGTTTCTAATCGAACACTTCCTGACGCTGGGGAAAATGTACAAGGACAAGAAACAGAAGGTCAGATCACAAACACACAGATGAAGTGCCCAAAATGACATTTCATCACACATGATTCCAGTCCTTATTCTCTTCCGTATGAATAGATCCATATTTAAAGATGTATAAATACTCTGAATGATTAGTAATATGATAATATGTAGTGCTGCTACTAGATGGCTCGGTATTGGCTACCAGTTTTTGAGTTTCAGTACCAACATCGAAATATCGAAAACGTTTTTCTACCAAACTGTCTTTTATGTATTAGAAGACAACAGTTAATTTAGACAATTCTGACAACTGTCTAAATAAATAAAAAGCAGCCTATGACTGATTAAAACAAGAAGTATGCAATTAAAGCAGCTGTCAACAAGATTATGAATATGACCAGACAGTCGCTAACAACTTCTAATATTTGAAGGAGTAGTTTAATTATTTTTGTTCCCAACTAATTAAGTTAAAAACCCAGCAACACTTGATAACATAAAGATCCTGATCACTAGTTAAACTGGAACGATTTGTCCTCATAATTACCATTTTACTCAGCGTAACAAACATGGTGGTTATCAAATAATTTCTGGAGGAAACATTTGATTTGACTCAAGAATTTGGCATTTCTGCTGCTATTTGTGACATTTTAAACACATTGAAGACAATACATTGTAAATCCAAGATAAAAAATAAGTGATATTAAATATTTATATGATTAATATAAATATATAAGTGATATTAAATATTTATATGATTTTTAACGAAGGTTCAAAACCATTCCCCTGGAGACTGTAATCACCGTGACAACATGAGCTTCAGTATTGTGTTGTTGCTGGGGTTATTCATACTGTATCATGAGGTTATAACAGGGTGTTTGTGCCGTCTGAGCAGATCCAGAAGAAGTGGGATCAGAACGACAAAGCAGATCCAGAGAAGCAGCCTGCTCTGGAAGACCTGAAGCCAACTGAAGGTAAGACGCCACATCAAACAAACACCCTGGTGGTTTTTTAACCATCTCTCTGAAGGGGAAAAAAATATCATGTCCCAGAAAACATGGAATTTGTTAGCTATCCAAAAAATGAAACTGTTAGAATTCAGCTGAGACCAGCTGAGACTGAGGGCTTGTTGAACACAGTCTGTATTTTTCGTCAGCAAGAAATAAATATGAGCTGAAGTTGTGTCAATCACCTTGTCTTGTTGTCTTGTGAGCCTCGTTCTGCATAAAATACTTTTATGGCCATTACTCAGCGTCATATCTCAGGGACAGAAGGGGAGACGTTTGGTCAGATACTGAATTGGTGACTCTAATCTTGAAACTGTGCTGATTGTATAGATCTTCTGTGTGTGAAGCATCCATGTTTTCACTGACATGGATGGAGACTGCAGGTATACAGGAGGTAAATTGCCATGAAATTAACTTTTGTTGCGATTTGGTGCTATAGAAATAAATCTGACTTGACCCGTTTTGGTAACAAGACCATTTTTGTGGACAAATTTGAATCAAAAATCTCATTTCATATTTCAGCAGTTAGAAGAAATAAAAAGAATTATTCTCTTCCTTCAGATGTAGAGACGAACGGTGCCGGTATGTTTGGTGACCACTCGAGCAGCCTGCATGGTGGCAGTGTGGCAGAAGAGGAGCAGGTGATGCTGGCACCGCAGGTGTCCATCGTCTCGCCGCAGGGTTACGGCGGGGCGTCGGGGGCTGCCGCCTACACTGCCGAGGACTGCGAGAACAAATGCCACTCCCACTTCCACGACACTGTGGGCCAGGCCGACAGCATGCACCACCATCACCACGACTACCACCACATCCTGCACCACCACCACTCCCAGAACCACCACCCTCACAGCCACTCCCACTCCTACTCAGAGCAGCACTTCCAGCAGGCCGGCGTGGCCACGCTCGCCTGGATGGTCATCATGGGAGACGGACTGCACAACTTCAGCGACGGCCTGGCCATCGGTTAGTAGGTGTTGCTGTCATGGCTGGAGCTCAAAACATACTTTAGCTTGACAGTCACAACAACCTTAAAGGGACAGTTCACCCCTAAATCAAAAACATATTTTTCTTCTTTCCTGTTGCAATTTATCAGTCGAGATAGTTCTGATGTGAGATACAGAGAGTTGGAGATATCAGCTGTAGAGATGTCTGCCTTCTCTCCAGTATAATGGAGCCAGATGTCACTCAGCTTGTGGTGCTCAAAGCACCAAGTAATACATTTAAGAAACTCAACCGCAATGTCTCTTTCCAGAAATCATGACCTGGTAACTCAGGATAATCCACAGACCTTGTTGTGAGCAGTTTCATGTAGGAACTATTTTCTTTCTACCCAACCACAGCCGCCAACCGAATTACTGCGCTGAAGGAAGCATCTACTCATAACTCCCTTTTACACTGCCAGATTTTCTGTGAATGTTGGGTCGTTTTGCCGGCAAGCCGCGAGCGTTTAGACACATGCAACCGGATTGGCGATTGATCCGAGGCGCCCAATTTTCCGCCTTGTAGGGTAGACATATTGGTGGAACCCTTTTTAGTTTAAACAGACTGAGGTGGCCTTCCGCAACAGGAGGGGCTGTTGAAGACTTGTGGGAGGGGCTGTTGATGACGCCACACGTGCGAGCCACTGGCGGTGGATAAACGGGAAACAGCTGATAGCAGGAATTAGCGAGCAGCTAGTAGCAAGAGGGAAACACCTGACAGACACTGTAAAGATGAGCAACTGGGGAGACAAGGAATTGCGCGCCCTCCTTGTCCTCATAAACGAAGAGGTCATTAACCGTCAGATGACGGGGACGGTGAAGAACGGGCCGACTTACGAGAGAATCGCTCAAGGACTGACCAGCCGCGGCTTCCCTCCCACGTCACTGTTTACGTCACACGCTGAGCTACACGTTTTGTTACTTGCTCACGCCCCCCATTGCCCCGAAAAAGGCGCATTCTGTATAAACAAAAGTAGGTAGGCGGCATTTTGCTGCACTCCCTGATTTTGTTTTTATACTGCCAATGCTGAAAAAAGACTGATTGGGCTTTCCTGCTAATTTGCACAATTCCTATTTAAAAAGGGCTCGAGACGAGAGGCTTATGACAGCATGAGATGTGAACACTAATGGTGTCCTCCTTGGCTGAACTGTAACGTTAGCTAGCTCGGTGGTGCTTGGTAAACTAACCGTAGATAGACACCTCCTTCTACACGGTGATATGGTTGGCGGGTGTATTATATTGGAGAGAAGACAGACATCTCTACGCATGATATTTCAAACACTCTGCTTCAGAACTATCTAGATTGATAAATAGCACTACAGGTTAGACTGATTATGTGGTTAACTGTTTCTTTGAGAGCTGTTTTGGATCGACAAGGAAACACAAAGTCAGTGATGACACGTTGGCTACTTAAAGTCCAGTTCTAAAGTTGAACATAAAATATATTTGTGATATTTATAGTTACATCTACCAAATACCTGCTCAAACAAAGACGGGAAGTATCACCAGCACTTCGACTGGTCTTGTGGAATGAACAGTGACGCTCTCAGACAATGACTGATACACATTATTAATAATCAACTGATGAATGTTACCAACCCAAGATATGAGCTGCCTGGCTGCTAACGTTAGTCTGCGGGATTGAAACTGACAGAAGATTATATAGTACAGTACCAGTGACGATGGTAGGTTTGAATATTTTCCTGTCACTCTGCAGGAGCTGCCTTCACTGAGGGTCTGTCCAGCGGTCTGAGTACATCTGTGGCTGTTTTCTGTCACGAGCTGCCTCACGAGTTAGGTAAGACCTTCGATCTCATCTTCGTCTCTCAGTGATGGTTTAATCTACAAGTGTTTGCTGCACGTAAAGCATGAGTAGTTTACACATTAAAATCCTATTAGTGTGTGACACTGCTGAACTACGGTTCATCTCAGTAGATTTAAAGCATTTCAGGAGAGCGTAGATCTCATGTGGTGACAGTTACTTGTAAAGTTTGTAAAGGCTCCTTGTCTTGGTTTGAATGTGGACTCTTTTTCCCAGGTGACTTTGCGGTGCTCTTGAAGGCCGGTATGACTGTGCGTCAGGCCATTCTCTACAACGTCTTGTCAGCCATGATGGCCTACTTGGGTATGGTGACCGGTATCCTGATCGGACACTACGCAGAGAACATCTCCATGTGGATATTCGCCCTTACAGCTGGGCTCTTCATGTATGTGGCTCTGGTGGACATGGTGAGTCAGCATTACCTCTCTTAAACCTGAACACACGGCAAACAGTCACAAGCTGATCATGAACATGTATCTTCTGCAGCTGCATGATAAACAATAACAATCACTAGTTTCATCATGATACGATTTTTGATTCTTTGGACAACGATGCAATATTTGCAGATATCAAGTAAGCCACGATACACTGTTTAATTCAATTCAATTTATATACAACGATATTATGTGCCCAGAACTGGCACCGATTAATTTTTTGCTTTTGGCCATAAATGATAAAAACACATAAATAACTGTAACTAACTGTACACAGTTAGTTACAGTTACGTCTACATGAAACTGACTCCTCGAATGCGCGTGGGATAAGTTAGGATAAGTTCTCGAAGAAATGTTTTCATTTTAACTAGGGCTGTCAAAATAATGTGTTCACTTCAATTAATAAATCACAGACAAAATAAATTAAATTAATGGTGAGTAACTTTGCTCTGGTGCCCTTTGACCCGGTGCATTACTGAAGGCCACAGTGGCTTTATCACATGATGGAGGCAGACAAGATGACGCTGCTCGGCCCTGTGAATGGTTTACATTTAAAAAACGCCCAGATGGAACGGTTGATAGGAGCACCGTTCTCTGCAGTTCCTGCAGTAAGGAACTTTCGTACCATCGAAGAACCTCTAGTCTGAAATATCACCTCAACACAAAGCATTTAGCAGAGAACCCGGGTGGCCGAGCTAGCGCAGCGTCTGATGCTTGCACCAGCAGCCAGCCTTGTCAAGCCAAACTCGACCAGGCGCTCAGAGGCAAACTGAGTAAGTCTGTCTGTGAGCGACTAACTCCACTGCAAAATGAAGTGCAACCAATTCACTGCAGACCAATTTGGGTGGTAGATAGGGACGGGAATCTCCAGGCACATCATGATTCGATTCAATTCCGATTCTGAGGGCAACGATTTTGATTATAAAACGATTCTCAATTCCAAAACGAGCCAATAAGAAAATTTACACTAGATATTGAAAAACATTATTGTAATGAAACTGGGAACACATATCCAGCGCATACAAACTGTGTTACTTACTGTGGTTGAGATGACTACGCTCCACCAGTCTCCTCTGGTCCATCCTCCTCATCCACAAATCTCAACAGGACTCTCCTGTCCCTCGTCAACCTCGACATTTCTCCTCCAGTATTTACAAGACTATAACTGACTATAACTATCTATGAACTATAAAAATACAAACTATTGCAAAAAAGACGAACGATGGCAAAACTACGAACTATGGTGAAAACACAATGAAAACACGGCAAAAACACTCAAAAGATCTCAAAAAATCACAAATACTATTATTTACAACACTTCATATTATTCACAAAGAAAACGTCACCCAAACTCCACTAAATCACTCCAACTTGCACTCTCCTCGTCAGCTGTCATTCTCCTCCTGCTATGCTCACTTCCCTCCCCTCCTTCACAGGTAATGACATCACTACCGTAATGTACAGTATATCTACAGAATTACGTTGATAGCGTGAATGGTTGAGGAGTTACGGTAATTTGAAAAATAAATATAAAAATAAAATTAAAATCGATTGCGTTTTCCACATCGATGCTCGCATCTTTGAAGACAGAATCTTGATGCATCTAAAAATCGATTTTTTTCCCCCACCCGACAATTGTGTCAAAAATCCAACAACTTTACGACACGTGCCAAAAATAATTTGAATTTATTTTTTAAAATACTTTCACTACAAAAATTGATGTATGCGATTAATTTAGATTAATTAATCACACAGTGTGTAATTATTGGATTTATTTTTTTATCACTTGACAGCCCTAATTTTAACCTAAACCATCATCTTTTTCATCATCATTGAACAAAAGTTTAAAATTTGGCTGAATAATAAAAGTCAAAGACAAAACAATTGTTTTTTGCTCTTCAGCCATTATTAGCTTAGGCACTTTCATGTTGCATACATTAGCCTAGCAGACTTTAACCATACTTAAACAAATTACATGTATTATTTATACTTTTTTTGAAGCACCGTTTGTTGAAGTCATTGCATCTACCGACCAAACAGTGCTGGTGAATTTCAGCCCAATATCGTTGAAAAAGAGGAGCTAATGTTGCCCTATCAAAAAGTTAGGGAAATGAGATGCCAGTACAGACGGGCATGTTGTGTTTCCTGAGTAATTTATCTCAAACGGCCTTGTTTACATATGACGTGTGACTGCTCTGTCCGAGTATTTTCTCTGAAATCCAAAATTTTTCCACCCAGCCGTTTAATTATTGTCTTTCTCGTGACACACAATTTTAAAATAAAAGCGTATCCTAAAGCTGATGATATGGATCAATGTTTCACTCAATGGCATCTCAATACATTGATCAAGATCGATAGATAGTTAAACCCTCAGAAAACGGCCAGTCTGAGGTTCTTAACCTTCCTGATCTGAAGAGCATTCCTTTAAAGAAAACAAAACAAACTACTGAGAGCCAGCAGTGTTGTTCCAGTACAGTAACTGCAGCTGCAGACACATAACATCACCTGCTGGACATGAGCTCGCTGCCGCCCGGCCCAAAACCTTTTCAACCTCTATCCACATTTTTTAATTTAGAAGTTTCAGAACAATGCAACTTTTACCAGACATATGAATGAAACAGAAATTTTGACTTCATTACTAACATTGACATTTAAGTTCCAAAAGAAAAAACTACAAGAGCAAAACCAAAACATGTGAAAATGACCAGTACTGCCAGCTGGGTTTACTGGGACAGGCTCAGGGGACTCCATATCACCACCGCCTGCAGTGTTCAATTTGTAATGTGCTAACTGATAATAGCATACGACCTGCACCACAAACAGAGTTTCAAGAGGAGAGGGAGAGCAGGCAACACAGGCACTAACAACAAGTTTGGCTGTGTATTGGACAGGTAGAAACGGACTGACACCATGGTGGGAACATTCACATAAAGAAAACTGCCAGACTGTTCGACTGTACATGAATGAACCATTTTCAAATGATTCTCCTTCATCTGGAACACTTGACAAAAATCTAAGACAGAACCTCTACATGTGTGTGGATATACATGCAGAACAATGATGCATTCAGTAGAGGCCTGAATAAAGGTGCGTCTGTGTAAAATCAACACAAAAGAAACAAATACAAACATTTAAAGAGATGTCAAAGCTGTTTGTGCAGGCTGACAGAATAAATTCAATATTTAGGAAGTGGTTAAATAAACAAATGATATGTTATTCACTTTACGTGGTTTGAAAACAAACTGCTCAGCTGTTTCTCACTGAGTCAGGAGAACTGAAACTCCTCTGCTCTCCTCCAGTCAGCAGCATCTGCTCTGTCGACTCATCTGGACCGACTCTCAGCCGGTCAGAGAGCAGCAGCCTTCAGGAGCAGATGGCCTCTTCCCCCACACACACACACACTTGAACACATGACAAGTGTATAAAACCAAACAGAAGAGAAGTGAGCTGTCACAAACTGCTGCTGTCTGTTAAACACAGCAGAGCTTCTGTTGCCTCAGCCTGCCCTCTTGTGGCTGCTGCCCCACACTGCAGTCTATTACGCGTTATCACAGCCACATGGGTGTAATAAAATGATAATGTCTGCTGTCACCAGTTCATCCTGTAGTCAGCTGGTTTAGAGCTAGGACAGAGTCCAAACCAACAGCCCCACGATGAGTTCAGGACTTCTGAGACGCTGTGTTATGTCAGACATTGCTCAACACACAGCTACAACTCCAACTGCTGCTGAATCCACAACATCTTCTTTTTACTTATGTTTTCACACAAAATACAACATGTACATGAGACAGACTTGGGGCCTCATTTACAACCATCACATGCTCATAAAAAAGACTTTAAATGTGTGAATTGAAGACAGATTGTGGAAATTAGATGTGAGAGGAATCATTGTACGTGTAACGATCTCTCACACATTTAAATTCACCTCATATCAGACGTTTCTCACAGGTCCACTTCATAAACATTCAGATGCAGCAGTGTTACTCGTGTTTGTGCCAGTTCAATATGTGACATTTCTCCAGTATGAAGCTAGGGCTGACCTGCCTGCAGCCCGTGAGCGCGCTATATTAAATAATAGGGCACTCAGACAGCGTCAAACAACGTCAAAATACGTCCACTAAAAGTGCATTTTTTTCACACAGATAGGCTCTGATTGTTAGTATAATTATCTGACAACATAACGGAAAGGAGAAAAGGAGAAATGAACATCTGTGTTTACCTTTAGCTGGATTCAGACATGTTCCTCTGCCTGTTGCTGCTCCCTCTCTCTCCTCGTCTGCTCTTCAGTTTCAATGAGCTCTGCGTCCCTGTACGTCCGTGTGCGTCCGTGTTCAAATAAATACGGGCGCTCATCAAATTCAAACGGCTCATCCAGATCCAGTTGGTCAAAATCAGGTAAAAATTCAGCCATGACTACTCCAAACAGAGTAACTCCTCGTGTTTGTAAGGTCACTCCAGCGGTAACTTCCTGCAACAACTCAAATCTCACGAGACGTGAGATTTCAGAGCCAGACTTTCACTCTCTGAGTGAGTGTTTTGACTTGCCACAACAAACATGTCTGAATTTTTACCCGATTTTGACCAACTGGATCTGGATGAGCCATTTGAATTTGATGAGCGCCCGTGTTTATTTGAACACGGAGTACATGGACGTACACGGACGCAGAGCTCATTGAAACTGAAGAGCGGACGAGGAGAGAGAGGGAGCAGCAACAGGCAGAGGAACATGTCTGAATCCAGCTAAAGGTAAACACAGACGTTCATTTCCGTGTTTCCGTTATGTTGTCAGATAATTATACTAACAATCCGAGCCTATCTGTGTGAAAAAAATGCACTTTTAGTGGACGTATTTTGACGTTGTTTGACGCTGTCTGAGTGCCCTATTATTTAATATAGCGCGCTCACAGGCTGCAGGCAGGTCAGCCCTAGCTTCGTACTGGAGAAATGTCACATATTGAACATCCTATCACTCATTTAGACAAAAGTAGATCGGAAAATAGGGCCCAGGTTGAAAAAACAGTTCCCCTTTAATGGTTGGTTGTGGGCGTGCAGAAGGCGGGATATGAGGCTGATCCATGAGCAGACAATTCCAACTTGGCATATATACATTTCCTCATTTGTACAAACATTTAGTGTGGATTCTTATTTTTCTGATTATTCCGACACCATATGAATACGCAATAACTAAACATTTCTTAGTGTTAACAAGCAAGTCTCGTTAAGCTACTGCAGAATGTTCAGACTACATAGTTATAAAATTATTATTATTCATCTGTTTTTGATGAATTGTATTTTTTAGTTGCGTTTCCTGCACCAGTCTGCAGCCTGAGCACTGGGAAACCAATCACAGATCAGTGTGATGTCATGTGTGTCGTTTCCTCTCCAGGTGCCTGAGATGTTACACAATGACGCCGGGGACCACGGCTTCAGCCACTGCGGCTTCTTCCTGCTCCAGAACGCCGGCATCCTGCTGGGCTTCTGCATAATGCTGCTGATCGCCATTTTCGAGCACAAAATCCAGCTGGACCTGGGGTACTGAAGGAGAGGTGTTTCATCCAGAGCTCCATGTGCGTTTCAGTGTCTGTCAGAAATGTAGTGTGTTTTTTATTTGTTGCTCCAGATGGTCCAGTCACATTGATTTAGTTAGTATTTTTACATGGTGTAGGAAGACGCATCAGTTGAAACACAGACACCGAATGTAATCCAGGAAGTTGCCATGCTGACAGCGCTCTCTGATGTTGTAGCTGACGGAAACAGAAGCTAAACGTTCATGAGCTGCTGAGATTCAAATATCTGCTGCTCAAACTAGTGTTTTTTTAATTTTTCACTTTCTGTTAACGCTGTTAAAAACATGCAGCAATTTTTTCAGATGGCGACAAACTCGTGACCCCCAAGTGGAAGAAAACAAGAGTGCACAAAAACAAAAATAGATCAAAGTTAAAGTCCCCTGTCCTAACTGCTCTTACCACTACAAAAAGACATGAAAGCAGCATGACCTCCCCCCGAACTCCTCTGCCGTCATATTTAATGTTGTTTTTTATACGCCTTATTTTTTTTTTCTATCTGATGTGTTGGAAGTGTTTCTGCTGCTGAGTCAAACCAGATCAGTATTCCAGAACATACTCAAAGTGCCGTAACAGCCCCACTGTCGGTACAACACTGTACTGGGTCTTAAGATGTTCTTTCCATTCAAAATCATTTTACAGTATAAATTGATCCATTAATTGATTGGTAGGAACAACGGACATTATTTGTTGCTTTTCAACATTTTTCGGACCAAAACTCAAGCTGAACATGTTTGAAGATATTCAGAAAGAAAACCACAAAATATTCAAATTTGAGAATCTGGAGGCAGCACACTTTCTGCATTTTTGCTAAGAGAAATTAATATCAATATTCTGTTGATGGGTTAATGGTTTCAGCTCTAATTGTGACCAGTTTTCAGGGTCAATTAAGCCCCTCCAGGATTTAGTGGGCTGTTTTTGGGATTGTTGCGACCTGAAATGTCTGATTTCACGGCAGCTTTTCTAAAAAACTGCAAGTTATGTTGCAATGTTTAAAGGAGTTTTTTTTTGTCACAGATTCAGAGCTTATTGTTATGAGCATTAAGTGTTTGACATTGAATTAGAATTTATTTGTGATCACCATCAGCCATCAGCTGTTAATGCCGTGCAACGCAGCGGTGAATGACTGTCCCTGTGAGAGACTCTCCTTCTGCTCTCTGCCCAGTTAGCACATTAACACAACACAACATGATCTCGTCCCTACTCGTCATATTTTGCTGCTTGGGCTGAAGCCCCACAGCAACAGTTAACATCCGACACCGAGCCATTCATCTTACACCAACACCATGACCAAAACAACCTGTTAAATTCTGTTCGTTAACGTTAGCTTTGTGATGCTAACAGTTAGCCCTGTCACTGTGTGTGTGACTCCAGGCACAGAGCTCCGGCCCATCAGCAGCAGTCTCATGATAAACAGAGAGAGAGGGGCTGAGTGAATCCATGTCCAAGTTACCATAAAAGGCAACACACACCGACCCTGTCACCTGACGCCCAAATAAGACAACAGACAGATAAAGTAAACAATATCACCAGCGTGGACTGTGGCAGCACATGTAATAAAAATGTTGCTTTTTTGGAGCATTAGAAATTTGATGATGGCGTAACTCGATGTGGAGTTTTGACGACCATGATGTGTTTTGATGTGCAGCTGCTGTTGTTTGCTCTCAACACTCTGGTGTTGCCATATAAACCTGCAGGACTGCTGACCCCATCAGAGAGCGCTGGCGGTCAGCTGATCAGCAGGTGAACTTGGTAGTTTGGAAGTCCCGACACTGCAGCAGAGATTACTCCTTTGGGAAATTTTTCCCTCATCAGACAATCTGATCAAATCTTGCAGAATGAACTCACTGTGAGTAATCAGAGCATTTTCAGTGGGAAGTTTGGATAAATCAGCAGGAAATCCGTCCATTAAATGAACCTGAGTTCAGCCTGATGAAGGAAACGGTGTCGTAGACCTCGTTAGTTGGAAGTTAACACTCACTGTTGCTGTTTCACTTTGAAAGTTCGGTCACGGTTCATTTTCTGATTGTCAAACAGCTCCTTGAAAGATTAAGTTCTGGATGAAAGTATAAACATGACTAAATTGTGGGGCCGACCCCTCGGTCGACTGAGTTTGCTTCAAGTGGAACAGTTGTTAGAGTGCTGTGCAGTGTAAATCTGGGGATGTTTTGATCCAAGATATTGCTGCAGATTAATGCTCTTGACTTTCACGCTTCTCTTGGGTACAGACCGCTACGGACGTGATACAACGGCACAGATCTTTTCTCTTCTGATTACAAGCAGTGAATTTACAGCTCACAGATACTTAATACGACACAGTCTCTGGCTTTTGTTTGATAGCTAGTGTCAAAAAATGTTGTTGCATATTTCCGATCTGTCGGTGGCACAGTTAACCTGTTTACTATAATACATGAATGCCTCTGTCACACTGAACGTCCCGCTGAGCCCCGTTCAAATTTTAAAAACCTCGAATATTTGTACTAAACAGCCGAATCTGATTCAACTTACGTAACTCTCGAGTTGGGTACAGCCCTACTAAAATGAAACAGAAAAAGGACCACACCTGAGTTAAGCTGAAATGAGGCCTTAGACTGGAAATGGATATTAATGATCAAGAAAATCCAAAATTGTGCTGAACTTGTTTTCGCTGTCAAACTTTGCCTGTTACAACACGTTATCTGCTTTGAACAAACATTTGTAAGTCTGCTGTTCGTTTAGGAAACACACTTAGACCAAGATTTGTTTTCACTAATGTGATGAGCAGGACGAGAACAAGATGGAAGCAAATCTTGCGTACGTTCTCAGAGTGGTGTTTTCTTGTGAGAAGATGAAAAAATCAGTTTGGAGAGTGATGGTGCAAAGTCGTATTAATCTGGAGCCTTGAATTTTCCCCCTAAACATGAAAGTCTCCTGTGAAGCTTTTCTATTTGGGATCGTATCGCAGTGTTCGCCAATGTTTGGATTTAGACGATTGGGAAAAAAAAAAACAAACTGAACCTAAATGAGTTAAAATTTCCTTTTTATGAGGGATGTTTGAACTGAACTGAATCCTGGCACTTCTGATCTGCACACGTGGAGCTGAACAAGATCTACATTCCTGTTGGCTATCCTGTTACCCTAGATTTGTTTTTTTTGTTAGTTTTTTTTTTCTTTCTTTTTATAAAAATATTGCAACTGCACTTATTTTAACGTTCACATTTTTTGGCCCCTCTTCGTCAGTGGCTCGTTCAGCTCCAAGCAGCAGATAGAACATATGCAGATGTTTTATTCTGTTGAAGTGGTGATGATCAGTTTATCTCTCCAAATTAGTCCAACTCTGTGTCAGGAGAGACTGTCTGAAAACGTGTGCCGTTATCACTCCACCCTCCGACAAGCAAATGTGGCCCTAACCTGGCCCTCGAGAGCAACATTTTTGCCCTTATTCTGAAAAAGACAATATTTCTAAGCTGTTTACATGATGAAAATAAATTATCTTATAGTTTACACGCAGCTGTGTATACTCTGATTAACGTGCCCTAACATGATGTTTATAATGGCAAAATATGGAAAAGTGGAGCGGCTTCTTTCATCCAAATAGGAGTCTCCTGCCGGTGGTATACGTGTTGGACCGTGTGAACTCAGCCTCCCTCTTTTATTCATTTAACCATCTTCTGGAAAAGGTTAGCATTGTGATATTTGTGTACAAGTCCTTCATAATTCCAACCAGAAACGTGGGCTTATCCTTGGGGCAGGGATCGCTACCCAAGCCCTGCGAACTGTTGGCAAGTTGGTCTCTGTACAATGTATCCATGACAACGCACAGAGCTGACTGTAAACAGACAAAAGGCAGTGTGTCACAAACTGCTGTAAAAACCCCAAATGAGAAACATATTCCGAATGTGCTGTATAGATGTCCAAGGAATGCTCCTAAAATCTGAATAATGCCGGCATATTTAACGTCTTAGAAAATGGTACATTCGGAGAAAGGCCTAATTTGGAATAACTTAACTTTATATGCTGTTTACACAAAGAGCTGCCAACGAATAATCAGTTGGTTGCCAACTATTAACTGAGTTGCCAATTAATTTGATGATCAATGAATCCGTTTGAGCAATTTTTCAAGAAAATGAAAGCCAAAATTCTCAGATTCCAGTTTCGTAAATATGAATATTTTCTGGTTCCTTTCCTCCTCTGTGACACTAAACTGAATCTCTCTGGGTTGGGGACAAAATGAGACATCTGACATCAGCTGATTTTCCACCATTTTCTGACATTTTACGGACCACACAAAAAATCCATTAATGGAGAAAATAGATTAATCTACAGGGAGAATAATCTTGAGCTGCAGCACCATTTACATGACCCAAATCAAATTCAGAATATTGGTATATTTGTAATGTAAGGGAAATATTAGTGTGCATGACAACATCATAACTGACCATGACCTTTGACTTCTCTGTGAAATGTGTACAAGTCTGTCAGAGAAAGGCCAAATATAGTGTTTTCATCTGTCCAGTGAAGAGCTGAGAAACTGAAAGCAAACTCTGGCAACAAAAAGGTGAAACTCAGCAGGTACTGTAGACTACAGGCTGTAGTGTTAGTTTTTGTTTAGTTTTTAATTTATGTTTAATTTTATCGTTACAGTAGAAGAGTTAACGTGGCAGCTCAACACTGACCGTGTTCAGAGAAACTAAGACTTTAAAGTCACTGTCAGTCTTTGTTACAGTATTTCTCTTTTTCAGTTTGAATGTGGACTTTGTAATTACCACAGGAGAACTACACTTTAGTCAAACTACAGATCATCTAACGTGAGCTCAGCTTGAATGGTTTCCTGTATTATTATTTTTTATTTGTTTACAGTTTGTTTAATAGAACATTTTTGCTGTTTATGTTAAATGACAATGTTCCCTCACAGGTCATGATTTTCTGGCCTAAAAAATTGTGTTTAAAAAATAATAATAGAAAAAGTAAGTTGAGTCCAGACACGAACCTCAATGTGTACATCACATGTACAATATTATACTATATGTAGATATTTATGTACAATACGGTACAAGTATGTGTCTGATTTGTTTCAGTTGTGGACTTTGTAGTTTCACTCGCTGTGCTGTTTGTTGTGAACAATGTGAGTCTCTGTTACGTTGTATTCAACACAAACCAAAAGAATCTCATTCAGAGGAAAAGTTACAGTGTGGAGAACACATAGGAGTCTGAAAGTAGAGGATGTCATTTCATGTTTTTGTCGGAAACAAAATGTCAAGTGTTTGAAATGAATCTGTTTTTGGAGGAACTACAGCAGGTGGATTAAATCATACAGACGGCTCACGATACAATCACACAGTAAATACACACAAAATGTTTCATGATCTGAATTCATGATCTTTTTTATTGAAAACGTTTTATTGAGTTTCTGATTTGACTCAGGTCATTTTTGAGGTTAATATTTGTGGTTGTGTCAAAGTTAAATCCATTCAAAACTGATGTTACGAGAAAAAGAGCTGTGAGTTTCTAACTTTGAGAACAAACTGTTTCAGATCAGATTGAATTTCAGTAAAATTTAATCAAAATAAAACACATCACACAAACGTTGAAAATGAGGCGTGATAAATAAGATGTTTACTGCCATGTTGCAACCAGTAGGGTTTCTTTTTCTCCTATTTTCCCCCAATAGTTCTCACAGCATATATTAATTCTACTCAATAGATGAGCAATTTTACGATAAAAACGATGAAAGCAAAAAAAAAAAGAAGTCTGTACAAATGCTCAAAGATTTTTACGTTTTCTTTTTCATCGCGTTTCCTTATTTAATCATGCTTCACAGGGGGTCGTACTTCGGCCCGTTTGCGCTCCCAACTCGTTAAATATCCCCGCTTTGTCAGTGATGTTGGTGTCAGACACAGAGGCACCTTTGGCGGCGGTATGAGACACGCCAGACAGCGGTAGTTTGTGTGAATATCAAGCTGTGTCAGTGATAGTGTGTAGCTATTGAAAATGGGTCTCTCCTTTTTTTTTTCTTTTTTCAAATTTGGCACAAATGTTCACTTGGACTTAACAAAAAACTGATTGGATTTGTTGGTCAAAGGTCACCGTGACTTTGTATCCATCTCATTCTTGTGAACGTGATATCTCAAGAAGGCCTTGAGGAAATTCTTCAAATTTGGCACAAACGTTCACTTGGAATCAACAATAAACTGATTAGAATTTGGTTGTCAAAGGTCAAGGTCACTGTGATCTCACAAAACGTGTCTTAGGCCATAACTCAAGAATTGATATGCTCATGATGACAAAACAGGAAAAAATGACGTGATTAGATTTTACATCCAAGAGGTCAGAGGTCAACCTCATTGTTATATCATCATATTTTGCAAAAACACTTTACTGGCCATTATTCAACGTCACGAGCAGGAAGTGTACGTTTCCTGTAAAAATGGAAGTCTGTTTTGAAAAGAATTCAACTAACGAGTGTAAATGGACATGCTGTCCCAGAACGTCCAAAGCAGACGCAGGAGGGTACCTAGCGCGTCATATTTCCAGTCCACTGACAAAGCGGCGGTATTTGACTTGTTGGGATGAGAGCCTGTTGTGTATTTATCACAAGAACATCTAAACAACTGCCTCTTGTATGAGTTCATGAGGTGACATTGGTTGATGTTCATAAAAACATTGAAGTTAATAGCAGTTGAACACCTTTGTCGTCTGTTATGTTAAAATTGCAGGAAAAAACTCTCCATGTTTAAAAAGAGTTTTTTTGTTATTGTCACAGTGTGGCAACAGTTGTTTGTTTCATGAGTCTAATTGTTTGAATGTCAAGAACATATTTTGTACATAACTCCTCTTTTTTGAAAATTCAACCAGAGCTCCAGTCACAATTTTAATTTTGTAATGTCACATTTCTTGCACGACTGTTACATTTTCTTACGATACAAAATGTGTTTATACTTTGCCAACAGAGTAAATCTGTCACTACTAAAACTCTCTCTACTCAAAATCATTATTTGACACAATTACTGTAACTTTATGTGGCCTCAAAAATGACCACTGAGTCCAGTCAACACCTGGAAGTCTCAATAAATGAGAGGTTTATCAATCTGATGTTTTGCCGTTTTAACAGTGTTCCTGTTATTTTGTCCACCTCTGTATTGAATCACTGACTGCAGTGACCTTCAGGCAGCTGTGATGTTGACTCACTGTGACATTCCTGAACACAAATAAACTCCGTCACCTTCACACAACATTCTGTCTGACCCTCTTTGTGTTTCACCTGGACAGTGAAAGGTGATGATTTTATAACTCGTCCTGAACAATGTAAAACCAAAACTTTTGATATACCCAGTCTGTGTCCTCTGTGTTTTCTTAGTGAAGAGCAGCTGAAGCCTTTTCAGCTTCATGTAATTAAAGTATGAGCAGTAAAATTACACATGTATTGTTAGCTTCATGGAGTAAAAGACATCTGAAGATATCTGATTGTCTGTGACAATATTAGGCACATTTTGTCACATTTTGGCAATAAGCTAATTCAGTGTACATTAGAGACAAACTGCAAAAAACCACGTTATTAAAGGACACTGAAATATAATTTTAAAAACACCATTAACACCCTGGTGATATGGTTATGTAAGTTTTTGTGTTGTCTGCATAATTATGATAACATCAGATGTATAATTACCTACAGACACAAAGTAGTCCCTGTCCTTAAAGCAGGAATTAAACCAGTTAACTGTGCACAAAGGTCCCACCCAGTTTTCTAGTAGATCTAGTACTATGTTACGGCCGAATGCAGCACTGAGATGGTAACCACCAGCAGAAGCGTTCATTAGTCTGGTGCAGTGCAGTGTATTCTCGCAGATGTACATTTTCTACCTTTTTCGCACAAGTAAATGCCACAGCACGTTTTCTCTTTTCTTTTCCAAGCGCCCAGAATTTTTGGAGGTTTGCATGGAGGTTTTATATTTGTAAAACTTTCCTCAAGCAGAGAAAAGCTATTTGAAATCTGTGACATTATCACTCATGTGCAGAGCAAGCAAGCGAAACACTGCTGCAGATATTCAGTGGGCTTCATACCACAGACGTAAACCCAGAAGCTAGAAGCTAGCTTTTTCTTGGCATATGCAAGAGGCGAACAACTCCACTGGACTGAATGGACGCATTCTTGGTGTCCGGTATCTTGTTATTATTTTACATCTCTGGTTTTCTCTGGTCGTGTAGCAGAAAAATAAATTCAAAAAGCCACAAGCAGCATTTATCAGGGTCCAAGCAGTTTGCAAGCATCTGAATGCTTTTATTTTAACTGACAGGAAGCAAAACTCTTGATGCTCCTTAAAACATTTCATTATGATCATCACTACATGCAGATGCTCTGTTGAGGTATATAAATCTGATACTGATGTTTTATTTCAATCATTTCAGTCATTTCACATTATAATCTTTGCATTATAGTACACATATCATCAGTACATGTATCATACATGTACTCTTTTTATATTGTAGATTGAAAAGGAAATGGTTGAAGCTGTACAGCTTATTTGTGCCTTCCCTTAATCAGTCCCATCAATAAATGATTGCAAGAATGGTAACACCAACAAGGACGGAAAAAAAACGGAAATGTATCGATCAAGAAAACGAATATTCAATAATTAACAAATGAAACATATGTAAGAGTCTCAATACACGTTATTTATCCGATCGTGCATCAATTCTACTATACTTTTCAAGTAGAATATATTTAAACTTCTTTTTGAACTGAAAGATATTTTAACTTTTTTTCAGTTCGTCTGGCAAACTCTTCCATAACTTCACCCCAATGACAGAAATACACATACTTGTATTAATTGTGCGAACTTTAGGTTGTCGGAAATTAAATTCACCTCTTAAATTATATCGCCTGTCTCTGTCAACAAACATTTTTTGTAGTTTACTGATATTTTCTTGCCTTATATACTACCTGTGCTGTTTTAAGATCCACTATGTCAGGGAACTTTAATACCCTTAATCTAGAAAACAGTATATTTGTGTGATGGTTGAACCCTACGTTATTTACAATTCTTCTTGCCTTTTTCTGCATAGTAATAATAGGTTGTAGGTTGCTTTTGTATGTGTTTCCCCAGATCGCAGCACAATATGTCAAGTATGGTAAAATGAGGGTACAGTACAGTGTGTGCAATGTTTTGTGGTTTAACATGTGTCTGATCTTACCTAAAATGCCAGTACTCCTTGCCATCTTCAACCTGACATGGTCTATATGGGTTTTCCAGTTAAGTTTGTGATCTATTTTTACCCCCAGAAAAGTATAATCATAAACTCTTTCAAGGCTAAAGCCATCTATACTTACTTCTACCTGTATGTTTGGGTGAACTCGTCTGTTTCCAAATAAAATAAACTTTGATTTACTAACATTCAGAGAAAGTTTGTTGTTATCAAACCACAGTTTCAGTTTCCCTAGTTCAGTTGTGACATCCCCCAATAGCTGTTGTAAGTGCTCGCCAGAACACAACATATTAGTGTCATCAGCAAAAATTACAAATTTAAGAACATTAGAGACATTAACTATATCGTTTATGTATAATATAAATAATTTTGGTCCAAGTATTGATCCCTGTGGCACGCCACAAGTGATATCTAATTCTTCTACCACTTCCATCAGTGCCAGTGAAGTGGATCTGTTGCTTCTAAAGCCATATTGGCTATCTATTAATAAATTGTGTTTATCTATAAAATTGTCCAACCTTGCAACAAATAATTTTTCTAGGATTTTTGAAAACTGTGGTAGCAGTGATACTGGTCTGTAATTTGTGAATAGTTGTTTGTCTCCTGCTTTGTAAACTGTAGTCTCTATATACAGACTCTACATTCAGTGAATGTAGAGGGTTAAACGCTCTGTGCGGTGAACTAACGACGCGGAACATAATTGGCGTCACTGCAAACTCTGAATCCATCGTAATGGTTCAGCATATTTACTTATATATAAACGGAAGTCGGAAACGGAAATTCGCCTCCTCAAACCGGAATGGCAAAAAATAGGGGGTCTGCCCCTAGAGGCTGTATCGCCGTCTGCCGGAAGTCAGACGCCGAATACAGCCAATGGGTTCCGAGAATGTGTAAATTGGTACTACTTTAGCTGTCTTCATTTTCCTAGGAAAAGTGCCCAGTCTGAATGATAAGTTGCATATGTAAGTTAGTGGATCAACAATTTCATTAATGATTTTCTTTATTAGTCATGTCAATACCCATGTCATCACATGAAGTTTTATTCTTGAAGTTGTTTACTATCTCTATGATTTCATTTCTAGTTACATCTCGCAAAAATATCTACTTCTAGAAACGTGTAATGTACCCTATGACCTTCCATAAAAAAGTGTCTGCATGACTACATTTGTATTTAATTTTCATTTTCATACCATGCAGCACTTTTGGTCTCTGGCTGCAGAGCTACTGTGGCCTGGTTTCAAAACCTGTAATAAGTCTTTATGACCTTTGACCTTTCAGATGAGAAAAGTTGCAGATTTCTTTTTTTCTAACAAAGATGAAGAACAGTCATGTTGACCACAGTTCTGCTGCCGAACAATAAGTATGTGCTCTGACAGCGATGACTGGTAAAATAATGTGTTAAAGAACCTTGAGCTTTATGGGTGTTATAAATGTGAGTGTAAAATGCAATGGCTTTCTTTCACTTTCAGGTTTACGCAGTGTGTTATCAAGTCATAAACACATTTCATGCCCCTGGTTATCACCTCTAGTCCTCTGGTCATTAGATTATTATTTTTTTTTTTATAGCTGATCAAAGTTTGTGTTAAGACAGTGTGTGTGTATATTCTACAGTGTATGTAGACTGAGGCAGCACTCGTCCTCCCCTCCTGATCAGATACAAACTGAACGGTAAGTTGCTGAACACACTGAGCTGTTACTCTGTTTTTAATGCTGTTTCAGAGTTCATGTGATGCTGAAGATGACTGTGGTGAAACCTTAACTGCATTATTTTTGTTCAGTTTATGTAAGAAAATCATTATTTATATTTTTGTCGTCTATCTCAGACAAGTTTAACAATATTCTACTTGGCTGAAGTTTGTTTTTTTTACATCCTCTCCTACACAGTTGATCCTAATGTCAAAAGAAGTATTATTCAAGTGTATTCCTTTTGGCTTTGGCAAAATGTCATGTCCATTATTCCAAACTCAGCATCAATATTATTAAAGTATTATTTTCTAATATGATTTGTTTCTTTAGAGGCAGTTGACAACTGGCAGTGTGTCCATACGCTGTTGGACTTAACAGTGAAGTTAATTCATACTTCCTCCTTCTACACTTCAAGACCATCAACTGCTCGACCATCCAACACAACTAGCTGTAAGTGAAAACAAATTATTACACATTATAATCAGAGATTAACATTTGGAAGCCTGTCAACCTTGTGTAAATAATACTGTGTAAAGTCAGGTTCTCAGGATCCGAGTTAAATCCTTAAAGTGAAAGCATAAAAGTGACGTTCCCTAAGCCTATAGCCTATCCCACCTATAGCTGCTGTTGCTTCACCTGTCAAGTTTTTAATGCTAGCTCAGCATATACGCAGTTTGCAATGACAACAGTGGTGAATTTAACTATATATTGTTTTCACAATTTCAAGTGTAAAACAAATATTTTTTGTTTTCAGACAGAAGCAGACAAAAACATTTGTCTCATTTTTGTCAATTATAACAGCAGCTCTGATGTCTAAGTCATGCTAACTTAGCACTGTTTTTTAACGAAGAATTAACTTACAAAAAAAGAAACAAATAAACTCAAGAAAATCTGATGTCCTGCCCTGTTTTCTAGATGTAACTCCATGCAGCTTGAAATAATCAAGGAACATCAGACTTTGGACATTTAAACCCCACAATGATATCATCTGCACTATCAGATGACTCATAAGGTAAAGGTTAGATGTGGTAGTGTCGTCAGTATTTTAATGATTCTAACAATGCTCATGAAGGAAAAAAAGTATCATCAACACAGCTATTTAAATGGACTTTGTTCTTTTTGTATTACAGGATTTATGGGGAAACTGATTTAAATCACAAGCAGCAGAAATCACTACAGCTCTTGGATCCTAAACCAGACGACTGGACAGCACACTGAGGTTTGCTGTATTTTATCTCCAGCAGTTTTTTTGTTATATTTAATACTTGAGTATTTTTACTACATTAGTCAGCTTTTGCAAAACAAAACTCTGCACCACAGCTGCTTAACAGATTCACACTCTAAAAGTGAACTTGCAAAATTCTACTTCTACAAAACTCAATTTTTAACTTCACTCTGCTGTTAGCTGAACATCAACAGAATCTGAAGTATGATGTTTATTAATGCAATGCTCTCTGAGACACATAGTTGACCACTCAGGGTGATGCAGCCCTGGTGACAAAATTTGCTACCATTCATTAGGTGCTACTCAAAGTCAAGGAAGGATCCTTAAATGGCTGTACCCACAATTCTTTGCACACAATTTGCCAGTGGAGCTCGGCGGGATTTTGATTAATATGTCAATTATACAGATTAATATCTCCTAGCATTTTTATTATATAAGAATAAAAAAAATATTGACAGAAACCTTATAATTTACACTTTCCACTGCGTCCACTGACAAATCTTTATTATTTTTTTTAAATGAAGTGATCTTGATAAAACAGAAACATTTTTAAATTAATCAGACACAGCAGAGATGGAGCACTAGCCTGTTCCAATGAGTGCTCACCAAAAGCAAGGAATGACTCTTGCCTTGCCTCTGAAGGACGCGATTTGGAAGGATCCTTCCTACCACGGAAGAATCCTTGACTTTGTGAAGCACCAGTTGTTTATGGGAGGTGACTGATTTGCTGTCCAAAGCATACTGGGATACCTATGATATGGACCAGGTGGGCAATAGGGCGAGAAGGTGTTACAGTTTCAAAATTTCAAAGGGAATTGCTAAAGCCAACTAATGACAATTGTGCTTGATAATCTATCCATGTAAAAGATGAGATAATAACAACTTGCTATCGCAAGACAAGAATGAATTACTGCCTTGTGGTTATGTGCCTCTGTGAAACAAAAACAAGAACAAATGGCCAAGAATACATTTCATGAGGTCACAGTGACCTTGACGACCAAAATCTAATCAGTTCATCGGTGAGTCCAAGTGGACGAATTTTAAGAAATTCCCTTCGAGTGTTCCTAATATATTGTGTTCACGAGAATGAGACAGACAGCCTGAAAACATAATGCCTTCAGCCACAGCTTTCTCTGGAGCAGAGGCATAAAAAGTTACTTGGCATTGCAAGAAGTAGTTAATTTTACCCTCCATCACTAGAAAAGCTGTTGTACAATCATGATACAAGCAGTAACAGCACAGAGTGGTACACTGTCACTGTAGCTGCAAGTGTGAGTTATGTGTATTTTTAATTTATTGTATTTCAATACAGGTTCAGACCAGAGAGCACTTCACAATAACAGACGCCTTCACCCTTCAGCAAGATGGAAGATCTTCTTTGACTACAAAGAGTCATTCGAGGCACTTCTTCTTAGGGGCGGTACCAAGTGATTATTACAGTAGACATAATTACTTCCCTTCACAATCATGCAGTCCAGACTAAGGTCAGGTTTTAAGTCAGTCTGTTCCAGATCAAAATCAAATGGTGCTGAAGAAACACAGCAAACCAAGACTTACATTAGGTCACCACCTGTTATTTCACCACCAAATTATTGGAATTCAAAGACGCGAGTGTGCATTAAATGGCTTGCTGATACTGTTAAAGAAAAAAGCACACTGCTAAAACCCCAGACAGGGTCTCTGCCTGTTTATAAAGTTCCCTTGAAAAAAGAGCAAATCAGTGTTAGTGGGTGCAAGAAATTCAGTTTTGGGGAAGAGTCCACTAAACTAAATCGCACCATTATGGTTCTTGGAACAACTGGTGCTGGGACATCAACTCTCCTTAATGGGATGATCAATTACATTCTGGGTGTTAAATGGGAGGATTCATTTCGCTTTAAGTTAGTTGATGAGGGTCAGTCAAAATCACAAGCTCACAGCCAGACTTCTGACGTCACTGTGTACAAACTCAACCACCAGGAGGGGTTTAAAATAGAGCACTCACTGACCATTGTTGACACTCCAGGGTTTGGAGGTACAAGAGGCATAGAAAGAGACAGAGAGATCACAGAACAGCTCCGTAATCTCTTCTCTGCTGAGCTTGGGATCAGTGAAATTGATGCTGTTTGTATTGTAGCTCAGGCTGCTTTAACACAACTAACACCATCACAGAAATTTGCGTTTGAATCTGTGCTCTCAATCTTTGGCAAAGATATTGCAGAAAACATCCAGGTTCTGGTGACGTTTGCAGACGGCCAGAAACCACCAGTTCTTGAGGCAATCAGTGCTTCAGGCATCCCATGTCCTGAAAGAAAAGATGGGCTACCAATTCACTTCAAATTCAATAATTCGGCGTTGTTTACAGACAGCAAATCATCTGCAGCAGACAGCATGAGTGAGGATGATGAAAATGGAGAAGAAAGCTTTGATCAGATGTTTTGGAACATGGGGACAAATAGCATGAGGACATTCTTTGTCGCTCTGGATGTCATGGACACCAAAAGCTTGACCATGACAAAAGAGGTCCTCAGAGAAAGACAGAGGCTTGAGAAGGCAGTTGAAAATTTGCAGAAAGAGGTTAAGGTTGGGTTAGCCAAGCTAGATGAGATAACAGAGAAGGCTGAAACACTTAAAGAGCACGAGGCAGAGATGTGCAGATATAAGAATTTTGAGTTTGAATCCAGCTTCCTAGACGCTGTTCAAGTACAAATTACTGGTACTGGAATTTACCTCAACAACTGTAAGCAGTGTCATTTCACCTGTCACTCTCCCTGTAGAAGATCCATTAATACAGGAGACAAAAGACACTGCAAAGCAATAGGATCAGATGGACGCTGCACAAAGTGCCCAGGGAAATGTTACTGGGATGAACATAATGATCAGACGTACAAATGGGAGAGTGAGGAATTGAAGGAAGTAACAACAGTGAAAGAACGTAGAAAGAAGTACAGAAACGCAAAAGATATTAAGAAATGTTATCAGACATTGATTGAAAAACTGATGCATGAATATCAACCCGTGCAGGCTGAGGTGGAGGCACTGAGAGCGCACTATAACAAGAGTCTGAACAGACTTAAAAAGATAGCACTGAAGCCGAATCCTCTCTACGCTCGTGAATTCACTGACATGCTTATTGAGGCAGAGAAATCTAAGGCCAAGCCAGGCTGGAGACAACGAGTTCAGCCCCTGATAACCATGAGGGAAAAAGCAGACATCATGGCTACAGTCGACAGAGGAGAGATACTCCTCCCAAGTCCACCTATTGACCTCCAGTGTTCCAGTCCCAGCCATGACATCACTGAGACTGATAATAAGAGACCAAGACTAAAATGATACCGACACTGACACCAGCAAAAATAAAAAGGACAACACTGACTGATACCAACCGAGACCAACATAAGATCAACACAAATGCAGACCACGACAAAGTCAACACAGATACCAACCTTGACTGACTCTGATAAAGGCCAGGATGAAACTGAACCAAATAACAACTGAGGCCAAGAAGAGACCAAGACCAATTCTAACATGAACAAAGACCAAGACAGTGAGCTTGACACTAACCCAAACCAAGACCAGACTGATTCCTATGAAGCCCAGGACAGGACGTTGTCAAGGGGGAACAAGGTCTTCCTGCTTACCGTATCCATTTAATTATCTACTTTTGTTTTATTTGATATTAATTTGCTTTGTACTTTAAAGCTGCAGTTTTTCTATGTCAGCAACTACATGTGGGACAATGCAATTTATATGTACATGAAGTCATATAACCATGCAATCTGAATAAGCATCTAAAGCTTCTGCATTGATTCCCCTAAAAGCTATGTATGTTGCTTGCATCATTTTAGAAAATATAAAAAGTTCTGTTTTATATGGATGCTTTATTTGATTTAGAATTTCAAATACCCACATTTTAATAAATTGTCATTTCGGACTGTGTGATCATGTACAAAATGCTCACAAAATGTATATAGACTGGCAGACGTTTGACTTTATCTTTCTGTGACAACAATTCACTCTGTAAAACAATACAGCAAAAATTGTGTTTGCTTTGTATACTCCCTCCTCCTTCACAAAATCTTAAATTAGTACAATACAGAATATCAAGTATTCATGATCTGAAGTCAAAAACGTTTGTCACATCACTTTCATTTGAAGGAACTGTAAATGATGAAGTTAATTTCTTAAAAAAAGAAAAAAAGCCAGCACTCACAAATGTCCTTTTGGTAAATTTAATAAACCAACTTGGGTGACGTTACCAGAAACACAGACGTTTCGACAGAAAGTCTTCTTCACTGAAGAACACAGACGTTTCGACAGAAAGTCTTCTTCAACGTCTGTGTTTCTGGTAACGCCACCCAAGTTGGTTTATTAAATTTACCAAAAGGACATTTGTGAGTGCTGACTTCTTTTCTTTTTTTCTGCTGCTTTTCGCCGTGCACCTGTTGAGTGGATTTATTTTGAGAGTGCTTGCTTCTTTCCTACGTGAAGTTAATTTCTTAACCAGTCCTGTATGCTATTAGATTTTAATCATTAACTCCATTGAATGTAAGCTTTTAAAGTTTGACAGTGAGATACCTACCATGCAGACATATTTGGAAACATCACTTGCATCATGGTCCTGTGCTCATGTCTGGTCTCATCTTCATGACGAACTTCTGAATCTGCTGGTACCGATGAATAAATGGAAAAGCCACATTAAAGCCAGATTCCTCTACCAATATGCAGACTTCCACTGCTGTATATATATATACCTATGTTTGTTGTCTAACATTTTCTTTGTTTTGTATGGATTTTATTTAACAAAAAAAGACAGTGGTATGATCATCAAAAAAGTCCCTAAGCTATAGAGTGAGCTGTACAATGTTATTTAACTAGCTGGCTAACTATCCATTCAGTGAAAAGACACGCAGGCCAAAAACAGGCTACAATAAATTGTAAACTTGTGTTTTTTCTTGATATTAAAGTTGTAACTAAACCACTCTCTTTCATTACTCATCTCTTTCACCACTACAATTGACAGTGTTCTCTTTAGTTAACTTCATGTAGAAAAATTGTTGTTAAAATTGACAGCTACCACATACACCTACAGTAACCACACGTTTGCTAGCTAATGCTAAAAGTAGGCTACATTTCAAAATGATGGTGTTAAAGGAATACTCAGACGATTTGTGAGTTATGCCCTTTCTCTATCATTTTCATATTGAGACAACATGATCGATATTTTTTTTGTGTCTGTACGTCCAGTGGCTGGGTCTCAGAGGTTAGCATTGCGGCTTAGCTTAGCGAATACAATTGAAGTCTATAGGGGGTCAGTAGCCTACTCGGTAAAAGTGATCAAATAAACGTTACAGAAACCCTGAAGCTGGCATTTCTGCACGTGCATTTAAAATAAACATGTTTAAACATTAATTCGAAAAATGAGAGTCCTTTTTAGTCGTTTTAGAAGAAGTTTGATACACGGAACTATAGTGTGTTTACGCCCTGTGCTGTGATCCACGGAGGGATACACCGGTGAGCAACAGCTGCAGCTGGCTCTGGGACAGGTACGCTAGGTCACTCGGCAAAAGCAAACAAAAAGACGACACGGACGATATTACTCACTCGACTGAAAGCTGTCCATCAGCTCCTGCAGGCCTGTTGTTTCCAGTTTATCTTAGGAACATGAAAAAATGTTTCAATCACGCCAGGATTAGTGATTGCTGCAAAGTTTTCACTCCTTGTGATGCACTCTCTGCGGTGGTTTTCCTCCCGATGATATATCTCTAGCCTCCCCAACGATGGTAGCACCGAATCCCATTCTGTACAGCAAAATGATTCCACCTCCGTAGGCATAGGTTGGCAAGCCCTGCAGCTACACCACCAGTCTTCCCCTGACCTGCGTCTCCCCTCGGCCCCTTGCTGTTCCGCCGCTTTGGAGGATTCAGCCTCTCTTTTCGCCCGCTCAGCATCCAACACCTGGAGTTCCTTATCTGTGTACTCCGGCTCAAACAGGTATGGCTCTGGATCTGTGTCCGCTACAAGAAACTCTTCAAAATCGCGTTCAAAGTCGTCCATTGCAGCTACTATAGTCCGGAGATATCATTAGGCTAAATAAACTGAGTTTTGTTTATAGGCTATGTCTGTGCCTGTGCCTGCTCACCGGTGTATCCCTCCGCGGATCACAGCACAGGGCGTAAACACACTATAGTTCAGTGTATCAAACTTCTTCTAAAACGACTAAAACGGACTCTCGTTTTGCGAATTAATGTTTAAACATGTTTATTTTAAATGCACGTGCAGAAATGCCAGATTCAGGGTTTCTGTAACGTTTATTTGATCACTTTTACAGAGTAGGCTAGTGACTCCCTAGAGACTTCAATTGTATTCGCTAAGCTAAGCTGCAATGCTAACCGCTGAGACCCAGCCACTGGACGTACAGACACAAAAAAGATATCGATCATGTTGTCTCAATATGAAAATGATAGGAAAGGGCATAACTCCCAAATCGTCGGAGTATTCAAACTTGATGTAACTCGACCACCTTTAAAACATAAATGTGTCAACTGCTTGTGACTGATCTTGCTAATATTAATATCTAATGTTGAGACACCGCAAAGAACCATAGCTGATCAAAATGCAATACAGTCTTAATACAGTCGTCATATTACAGTGTAATTTTGTTGTATATAAGGTTGTGACAAAATACTTACTGACAGAGCACTTACCGCTAAAAATATGTAGATTCAATGGACAAATAGGAGAATATCACAAATAGAGGACAACAATGTGCATTTAAAGAGCAAGAAATCAGATGTCTCAATTCCAAGACAGCGTCGACAATGAAAATGTCATGTAATCAGTACAACAGCTTTGCTCCTGACATGTCAAGTACACCAAAGGTCACAGGTGGAATCACATGTAATGACTGAAGCGATCTATGCTCAACGCATTCATGAGGGTTGCGAGTGTTAACACAGCCAAAGTGACATCACACAGGCCCCTTCATAAGGGTCCCTGCTTTTGGCCTGCAGACAGTTGAGTTCATCCTTTTTTGACAGCAATCAATTTGTCAAAAAACATCAGAAATCATGATGACAAGAAGAACATTGTTAAGTCTTTCTACACAACAATTATACTTAGTGCACTGCTCTGACGACTAGTGGGCCCATAACCTTGAAACAATCTTTACAAAAAGTTACTGAACTCTTATTTTAATAAATGTCCTGTATCCTTCTTCTTCTTGTCACAGCATTATTTTGTAAACAAATTTTTGATATTCACTGAAGTGTTTCAACTCACCAGTTAAAAAGATATCCACCACATTGATTAAAATGGTTGTATTGTATCAGAAGACCAAACTGTGGTGGTGAGATCTCCTGATCAGTGTCTGGTTGTGAAACTGTGCACTGCTGGAAGACTCTTCAAAGTTCAAACTTTGTCCACAAGGTGGCTGTATTACACCGGCCATAGTTATACGATCAGCCTCCAACAAGAATGATGACTTGAGAAACCTGCTGTTTGTAGTTAGGAAACAATTGTCTTACAACATTAAGAAATTCTCCCACAACAACATTGACATTCAAACTGCAAACCTACTGATGAGGCGAAATACAATGTAAAGTGATAAGTCTCAACTTTGGTGATATCAAGTTTATTGAGTTATTACTGGTGCTGGTTGAAGTCACATGCTGCCAATTAGCAACTTCAAACTTCATATGTTAGCATATCAGCGAGTATAAAACCCTCAATTACATATCAGTTATTGCACTTAACTTCAAATTATTACAGCATTTTTTTATTAGCTACAATACCAGCTTGCCATCAAGTCTGGCTCCTCACATGCTTGTACACTGTTGTCCAATTAACTAAAAGTCATTGTTCGGGGTGGCACTTAGCACTTACTTGTGGGTTTCTGTATGTAATCTACAGCATGGTTGCTTTGTATCCTCCCTCTTTCTTCTTCACAAAATCTTAAATGAAGCAGCACAATACAGAAGATCAAGTATTCATCCATTTAGTCTTGAAAACTGGCAACTGGTGAATGCTGCTGTTGCAAAGATAATTTCTGTCACATCACAGTCATTTAGAGGAACTGTCAATGATAAAAGTTGAATCATCAACCAGTCCTGCTTGCTATTAGATTTTAATCAACACGTTACCAACATTCATCCCCACTGATCCACACTGCTCCACTTCCACCAGTATGCCACCAGGAAAATATCCCCCAAAGGCCAGTGTGTGTTGTCATGTCATTCAGTATACCTTATAGAAGGGTGCTGGTGGTTGTGTGCATTATCATGTCCAGGGTGTCTCCATTCATACACCTACACCGTATCCTGTTCTGCTTTTGCGTCCTGGCTGCCTGAAAGCAGCGGGGATAAGAAGCTGGCCTTCAGTTTGCATTTTCCTCGTCCTGGTGATCGGCACATCTGGGTGATGTTAGTATATATTGGATGTGTTTCCATTCACCCCCTCTACAGCTGCAGAGCGACGCTGGCACACAGTCCTGTTCTTATGCATAACTCTCTCTGTGGTGCTGCTGTAGCTGACCGGCACGTCTGACATGCTCGACCCACTTAAACACCAGTGCAAACCAAGCACCCCCCCCTATTATGGCACTCCCCAGTAGCTGTGGCCCCCCAGCAGGACACGGAGCCATGCCACACCACATAAACTGCTTAGGAATGGTCCGAGGAACATGACAAAGAGCTCAAGGCATCAACCTGGCCTCCAAATTCCCCAGATCCCCATCTGATCAAACATCTGTGGGACGTGCTGGTACCCCACCTCACAACCCACAGGACCCAAAAGATCTGAAGCTAACACCCTGGTGCCAGACACCAAAGGACACCCTCCACAGGTCCTGTGTCCATGCCTTATCAGAGCCAAGTCCGGTCCAAGGAACACCCACCGTGGATCAGGGGTACCCTCTGAGGTACCAGAATGTCCCTCAGATGTTTGGGATCTGGGGTATTTGGAGGTCAGGTCAACGCCTTGAGCTCTTTGTCCCGTAACCTCAGGTCATGCCTGAGCAGCTTTTGTGATGTGGCATGGTACATTGTCCTGGTGGGGGGTCACTGCCATTGATAAGTGTCATTGCCATGAGGGGGTTTATCAATGTTGTTCACTTAACCCGCCAGTGGTTTTAATGTTTTGGCTGATCAGTGTATAAGAGATGCATGATAATATCAGCACATCATCAGTATTTTATTTTTTTATTATTTATTTATTTATATACTTTATTAATCCTCCTGAGGGGAAATTCAGTTTTTTCACTCTTGCTGTCAATTACACACAGGTCCGAAAGACAGTATCGGCCAGTATTAAAAATTAAATATGAGAACGGCCAACAGTATCTGCTGATAAGACAAACCAAACATGTACAAAATATCAGGTAAACGATGCAGCACAGGTAAAAAAAACAACATATCTGCTAGATGTAAGTATGTATGAAGATTATAAATGACAAAAATTAAAACTGACAGGTGTTTAACTGATTCACAGTTGGTTCGTACTGTGTTAATTGCCACCAGAGCAACTTAAAAGAAAGATGTAAAGACCATTAACAAAAGATAACGTGTCTCAGTTGCCAATGATTTGGTTTCAACATTGTTGGTGCAAAAGGACTTCAAATATGATTCAAAATGCTGACACTGCTGTGTGGAGATAATATTCAGTCAGCATAAAGTAACCAGACACCCAAATAAGTTTGTCATTTCAGTGTTTCAATCACAAACTGTTGTGTATGAAACCCACTCAACTATAACACAGTCTGTGTTGTGTCTGTTGGAGCTCACAGGAGTGAATCCGTTACTTACGTCACCGCACCGTGACCACGGTAAATCCAGAGGCCGCTGCACAACAGGTCCTTCACGGGCCAAAAAACAGTTTAAATACAGAATCCAATACCAAAAAACTACAATGTCCATGTAAGAGTCCCGTATTGCTGTGTTGTCTTCCACTAATGTAGCGTTATCCTCTCTTTGCCCGCAGACCGAC